CGAAGCACATCACCAATGCCTTCAGATGAATTGTCTGAAGCCATCATCAGTTTAAGCATGTTAAGGTTGGGCTTTTCAAGTTTGATTGGTCTGACTGGTGGCGGGTGATCTGCAAGGGGCGGATTCTTCTGGCTTGAGGAGGCAACATAACGAAGGAAAACGCTAGTGAGCTGAGACTTGAGCGTCAATTTGAAATATCGATCGCTGATAACTGTGGGAGCAAAATGGCGCGGTTGAACTTCAAGATTGGTACTTTTCTTGAGTGCAAGTTTCAATGCGGCAAGAGTTAGTTCGTCATGGTTGAGATGGTTGAAGAAAGTATGCGGCAAGTGATGGATGTATCCCCATGTCCCGTGGAACATAGTACTTGAGTCGGCTACAGACTTAGTGTGGATGGATTGTTGAAAATCCAAGTTGTCAATGCAAGCTGCTGGGGAGAAGATGTTTGCATCGGTGTTGGAGAACAGTCTCTTTATCTTTTTCTCCGCCTCCTTCCCAAGCGCTGCTAGCCCACAATGGGCAGTCCTTCGAGAGCAAGACAGTCCGACATAGTTCAGGTATCTGCTTACTCGTTCAGTGACCCCGCATGCGATGAAAAGAAGACCGTTCATCAACTGTTGTCCATTATGGCGCCGGTTACGCCCAAATGCAACCATCGAGCAGATCGTTCTAGCAATGTCCTCGTTTTGTTTTTGTCTACGGATTAAAGGATTACGGCTTGGGCGTAAGACATTGGAGTCAACTTTCATTTGCATCGTCTTTCAGTCAAGGAAATCGGAATTCTCGGGTTCGGGTCTTCCAATGGATCTTCTTGGAGAGTAGATACCGGGAGATTGACGGGAGGAGCTGGATCTTCGAAAGCGGAAAGATCGATGGAGCCATCTTCACTCGAATCGCTGTCTTCAGAATCGTTCCCATTGCTTGGTCTTTCCAGCTTCCCCATGAGTAGATTATACAAAAATGGCATTGACTTGATGAGCAGCTGAGAACGTTCAACCCGTGAATCCTCGGTAAAAAAAGCCTCATCTAATTTATTTGAGCTGTGATACGCGCCTTTCGGGAATTGTCCGACCTTTGGCTTTTCCTTGCGTACAATATTGATGGCCTGCTTGTCAAGAAACGTTCAATAATAAATGCTAAGGCATGGAAAATCATGAGCGAGAGTAGAAAAAGAATGGAAGTAATTAACCTCTTCCAATATAAATTCCTCCCAAAGCAGCTTTCCGGGGTTATGCTTGCCAACAACAGTCTTGATTGAGTCCAACAGCCGCCTGGTCCCAGGCCAGCCTTGTGACCCCCAGTATCATTGTTTGAAAACGGAGGCAGCAGATTGTGTGTTCAAAAAATGAGCTATGTAGCTCTTTGGTTCCCAGTTCAACTTCTCGATTAGATCGGAAATTTGCTTGAGTTTATTCTCCTCCGAGATTGACTTTGTTGATGATGGAGACGTGTGAGTAGACATTTCTGGAGAGACGACACAGGTATTGAGGTTTTCAGAGAATGTTTTGTTCAGGATTGCACGGTTTTAAAAATAGCGCATACATTTGATCAGAATCTGGAAAAGGAAACGTTGGAGAGAGAGAGATGAGTAGAGAGATAAGAATGAAAACGGTTGAATTAAACATTGAAAAAAAGAGCAGAGGAAAAAGCCAAATGAAAAAAAGAAGATTATACACATATCCGAGTTGGCCCAGAGCTTTCTTGAAGTCATCAATTTCCTTTAAAAAATTATTTTAAAAAAATGGCTCAATGCTTTGAGGATGTTATGAGCTCTAAAAATCAACATATTCAGCAAGATTTTAATTTTCACTACCTTGGATGGACAGCATCGAAACTACATGCTGGAAAAATTAAAGAGTGAATTTACAAGCTTTTTTGGTGGATGGTCTACTCCAAGCACCCCCGCTTTGATCGTAAGTCCCTCCCTGCGGGAGGGGGCGCTTTGCGCCCAGCCAGTGCCACACCAGCGTGCCTCCCACCAGGGAGGACTTAGATAAGTTAGATGATGTGTAAACTTCACATCAAAACAGAGGTTTCATGTGGAGTGAGGATGTTATAGGCAGGGAGCCATAACCCGGGGTATCGGGTAGGCCCCTCGGGTACCCGGCTAGTTGTAACAAGTACTTTACCGTGTGAATACAACACTGAGAGTCTGAAATGTCAAATGGCTGAGCAAACCTGCAGGCCGCCAGTGCCTTTTGCTGATGGAGGCCGGTAAAATCTAGCTAGCTATGTATTTTAAAATCCAGGATAGACCAAAATCTTTGTACTCATGATGTTTGTCTGGAAGTGATAAATGGGAACACCCCTTTCCCAGAGCCGACATGTCTTGCTGTACCATTAAATAGGATTGACTCTTTAATTAATTAACTTTTTAAATTTGATGCTGCGAAAGACTTGCAATCGCTTTTATTCAGAAACGGTTAAATTGAAAACACGAAAGGGAACAATATCTGCTATCATAGAATAATCGAACAAACTGTTATACAACACATCGTGCGCTACGAGAGCCCCTTGTTCACTAAAAGTAAACGTAGAATCGTACCGGTCCAGGCATGAGCATCTCTTTTTGCTAAGCCCTTCCTTCAGTTGCAACTTGCGCTAGAAAAACAAAGCAATATTGGTTTGTAAGCGATTCTCCACTATGTTGTACATTCAATGGTTTACTCACGCTCTTTCTCAATCTTATTTGTGATTCGGTTTTTGAGTTCCCTCGCACGCCTTCCGATTCCCTCTTTCATCCAAATACTAGTTCGGACCGGTCCGTACTGCATCGCACCGCGATGTCGTGAGGAGAGCGATTTCTTGTGAGCGGCTTCAATTGCCTTTTCCTCGGGACTCTTGCTGGAGATGATACTCGATAGCCTGAATGTTCCTGCATGTCCTTCGCTGTTGGTACTGGCCGCGCTGTCGGAGCTACCGCTTGGATTTTTCTTATGAGCCAACGCATGTGCATTTCTCAAAGCCTGTTCAGCTTGGCCCTCGCTGTTATCGTACGCCTCGAACGTATGTCTAGCCACTGAGCTTTGAGCATATCTGTTACGTATCCATGAAAGTTGTGCTCAGTTTTAGGCAGGCTGAAATGTATAAATATCCTCAGAAAATCACCTGGCGTGCTCGGGATCCAACCCAGGATCGACGCGCGCTCTGAAGGTCAGATAACCATTCACTTCGTAGTTGTGATGCGCGCGTGTTTCTGAAAGAAAGGGAAAAGTTTGATAAAAGTGCGAGAGATTGTTAGTCTCAGCACGGCCGAAGACTCAAATTCTAATTAAGAAAGTACACACGGTCATTGATGAAATTCTGCCTGAGGGTGGTCAGATTGGGTCCGGATACGATAGGGAGGCGGATCTGCTGCTCGACATCGTCTTCAAGGGTATGTAGCCACAGGACAGCTATGTGCTTGTGCGCGCTTGATTCTCCTGGAAGAAGAGAGCTGATCACAGAGTCCCCGCCTATTTGGAAAGTGATATTTGACTTGTATCTCGCGTAGATGGGGACTCTCAGAAGAGTGTGATCATGATCGGGGATCTGTGAGTCATTGGCCCACACGACAGTATTGGGGATTTCTTGATGGCTGACCAGAGGAAGCTTAATGATGTCTTCGACTGTTTTCAATTTGAGCTTCTGCCCCTTTTTTTTCAAGTAGGCGCTCAGTTCATCTGATAACTCGGCTCTGATTGGAGAAGTAATCTCCAGCGTCGCAGTGTTCCATCCCAAGAGATTTTTTGGAAGTTGCAACTGGACTGATTCGAATAAAACCGAGACTTGCGCTCGACCAAATCCGACTCCTTCCTGAAGCGAGAATATGCGAGTAACCTGTGAGCAAGAAGAATCCTCAAATAACTGCTCGAGGTCAATATTGATCACCCCCAATAACGGGTCCTTTTCACGAATCCTCGAATCTCGGACTGCTATTCTGATGACGGTTTCGGTCCAGTCTCGAATAAAGTGTTCGGTGCCAGCCTCGAAGAATGGCATGGTAGTATACTGTTTCACCCTGGTTTTATATATCATCTCGTCGTTAACAATCACTTCGGCATAGCCGCTGGGTAAATTATCATCTTGTTCACTTGGTGCTGCTGTGTCTTGACCTTGGGCACCCTCGCGATCACCGCTAGCACCTTTGAGATTAGCTCGTTCCAGATTGTTAATGTGATGAATGATAACCGATACGATGCCCGATCTCATCTGTCGATTGGGTGGGACTTTCGTAGTCAAATCTTTAGAATCATCTTTAGTTTCTGGTGTTGCTGGCGTACTGGTTGGCCGACTAGATAGTTCTGAGCTGGACCCTGCCGTATTCTTTTGGAGGTACGACGCCAGGTCGACTTTCGAGAAGTATCCAACCGACCAAGTCAGCTGACCGGGCATGTCATCCGCGTCTTGAAAGCCCTGTAGCTTATCTGTACGCCGACTGAGCTGGTTGGGATTTTGAATCAATTGAGAAACAGGCAGTTCGATTCGGCCGACCAAATCATCTGCAGACCTCTCGTCTATGTTGCAAAGGGAAAGAAGAAGAAAAATTAACCTTTGTATCATCAAGATATTCAAACAAGCAGTATCGTGACCAACCAGAATCCCACAGCATGACACTGAGTTTTTCCTTGGATTGAATTTCATCTTCTGAGAGCAGCAAGAATGCAGTTTCTTCGAAAACAGGGTTTAACTCTTTGCCAATGATACGAGTAGAATAAATTGGCTTTCCAAATTTAGCGTACGCTAGTACGATGTAGGGATCGGAATAACCGGAAGCGTCTTGTGCGGAGAGGCCCGTTGCGTGATGGATGGTGACCATGATGACACCCAAAGCGTGAGTCTTAGTCTTCACACCAGAGCCGGAAAGCATCTCTTGTATGTTCATTGTCATGAATTTGGGGGCAACATATTCTGCGCACTACATAAGCGGAAGATAGATACCCATGATAATCACGTTGGAGATCAGATCAACCTCAATCCAATCATTTTATCGGACAACTTACAGCGGCAGCAATTGAACTCTGGACAAACCCGGATATCACCGGCAAGTCTAGAACATTGGGTATAGACCGCGCCATTGGTTTGGCAGAAACTGATACTTTGGGGACTCCCATCATCGTGAAAGTAAGCTACTCGGCGGAGGCGCGCGAAATTAATTCAAGTTGTGGTAAGTATCTGATAAACTATTTGGTTATGCGGTTCACTGACATTTCGAATATAGGGAGGCTCTTGAATCATCTGAAGTCTCAGGCGGACAGTTCCAGCTAGCCCCTCAATTTGGATCCCTTGAAGAAAGGAAAAAATAACGGCCGACATTGATCAGCACAGCTTAAGATACAGTCAGTATAAATAAGATTTACAAATGGGGACCGGAATGTGGACCCAGTCGAAAACTCCAACGAAAAACTCAACCATTAAACTGTTTTAAATTACGATTAATACTGTGATGGCACTTCGAAGGTATATTTTAATGTTTGGGAGACCGTAGGCTTAATACTCACTGGATGTTGTGAGCACGAAGTTTGTCGGTTTGACCGGGCTGCGCTTGGTATGCAAACGCAACTTCGTAATTGACGTAATCGCCGCTTTGTTCCTCCCTAAACTTTTCGGATTCACTTTGATGATAGTCCCCTGTGATCCAACTATCACGAGGATACTCTGGGTCTCCCGGTTGGTCAGGCAAAGCTCGCATCGAAAGAATACGCAAGGGAGTGTCACCCAACCCAAGGTCGGAGACCTTGACAGCATCAATGAAGCTGGGTAATGAGGCTTGCATCACGTCTTCGATGGTATCCGCCTGATTAAAAAAATATCTTCAAAGCCATCAGCACTCCGAATGTCATGATCATTCGGAAACCAGTTCAATCAATTGCACTTTACCAATGGCAAAAACATGTCGGGATTCAAAAGACCCATCAGTGTGGAGATGACTTCATCATGGAAGAACCTTCATCAGCTTCCCGAAATAAACCTGAAATAAGAATTACTCAAGAAATATCAAGTTACTCACAGGCGTTCAACCATTCAGTTGATTCAGGAGTCGGTGGAGAGTTTTCTATTCCCCGCTGACGATGCATTTCAAACCGAATCTGTTGAAAGAATTGTGTTTAGTAAGATGACATAATGCAGGAGCGGAGTTCAAATTTCAGATCTGATCACCTTATCAAGTTCCTTCTCAATTTGCCGGTCGAGCAAACCGCCTTGGAAGAAGGAAACTAGCCCAACGATCCCAAATAAGCAACTTCGCCAGAGAAATGTTGACACTCCAGCTCCAAAGGCGGTTGTCCACCACATCACCAATAAGCTGCCAAGGAAAAAATAGATCGTTTTGTTAATGAATTTCTTAATTTCATCCAACAGGTTCGAGGGTACTGGTGGCGGAAAGGGTTGGAGACATATGTTTCCAGGTGCAATGGGGGAGGGCGAGATGCGCAAGCTAGGCTCTGTTCGGTTAGAATTTTGGGGAGGAGAAAGTGCATGATTGCGGGAGGCTTGACAAGCGCAAAACAAAGGAAAAGATATTGTCAGGGGGCAGAACAGAGCTAAAAGCCAAAGCGCGAACTCATAAGAGACGCTACCACTAGACGAACCTTGATTTGTATCAAATTGCGCATCACTAATTATGACATCAGAGTTAGTAACCGGATCTTTCACGGTTCTTTGGCCACGCAGTTTGAGCTCCTTAGCAGGTTTTTCGTCTTTATTTTTCATGCGCTCCATAATGGCCTGTTTCTCAGCTTCTGAGTGGTCACTCGAGTCTACATCCTTTTTCGGCCCGTCCGAATCACCAATTGGAGATCTGTTTTCACTGCCATGTTGGATTGTATTGATCGAAGTTGATTTGATAGACTGGTTTTCGTGATTTTTGGCCTCCAGATTCTTGATATTTTTCTCATAATTTTCGATGGTTGGAACTGGATTACGGGCCGAGTAGTCTGTCGAATGAGAGGGTTATGTAGTGAGCCAAACCATTCTGATGGGAAAGTATAGTCAAGTTGTTTATAATCAATGAGATGTGGCATACTCTCTTGGAAGTGGTGCCCAGAGGTCTGCATTTTCGGATGGGTGGAGTCCATTGCAATTGGATGCTATTTTTAATGTATCTGTGGGCAATATCCCAGTTTTGTGTTCAGAAAAAGGAGTGAGTCAGTTCATCAGGCCACAGCTTCTAGAAGCCAAAGTAAGACAAAAAGGGATTTCACACTGACAAAATGGAAAATTATCGATAGCCAACTGTAGCCTCAGGGATTGGCAAAGAACAGCGAATTGTGGAGAGTCAATTTTCAGTAGATTACCAGCTCCCAGGGATGTAGGGGGTAATCGGTGCAAGTCGACCTGCTTTGTGGGGGCGACTGGTTAGCAATCGACGCAAAAGGCAGACTGCAAGATGGGGAGGGGATGGCAAAGAGTGTTTTCATCAATCCCAGTCCATTTCCATCGAACACTGACCCTCGGAATACCGGATATCGATCATCATGATGTCATCGATCACATTCAGAGGGCCCCACATGACGTCAGCTTATGTCAGCTGAGCCATCAAACCTCACCCAGACCAGGGCTCACAAGATTCATTTTATCTTTAGCTCGGCCAAGGTCAACTCGTTGGATGAAGAAATGGTGTCTGCTCAAGCAAAGTCTTGGAAATCTTGTTTGTTTTTGCCCTCTTCAGAAGTTTCAAAATTGAAAGACAGGCAATTGCCATTCGAACCACTCGCTTTATGACTAAAACTCTGAATTACATAGTGCAATTGATCAATAACCCCACTCCATTCTTTCGGCGATACTATTTCCATATGGGATGAGGCCTGATGAGTGTAACGACTAAGGTCACTGCAGCAGCCCAAGACACGCAAAGGATGAGGTGATCCACAGCACACAGCGGATCGAGAAAGCTAATTTTTCAAGATAACACCAGGATGGATATTTTGCCATGAGGAAAGAAACCCTCAAGACAAATACAAGTTCTCAAATACTGAATTCTAGCTACAACTGAGCTACTTCAACCTGTTAGTACACATTTCTTTGCAAAACTAATCTAGAAGAAACTAAATCTTTCTTTTCTCTATTGATATGTATCTTCTTAATATTTTATCTTGAATAGGTCTTCTTTAATTCAAAATAAAGTACTAGGCCTGTTTTTCTTCTCATGAAAGTACAGACATCTAGAAATTTTCTTACTGAGTTTTCACCTAAAGTTTTGATTGCTTCTTTAACTGAAGTCATTTTCATAATAATTTTTTGATTTTTGCTGTTTGCTGTGCTTGCTCTTGTTACAATGAGGCACATTTGATATTCTCTCAAAAGTAAAATTCAGAAGATGCATTTCTCATTGAACAGCCTTATAATGACTTGTAGGTATGTACATCAGGTGTGCAATGTTTAGACAGAGGAGAAGATAGGATTTTTGTGTGCTGAATGCTTTGGCTACCAAGTTAACACTAAACTCACTTTGAATTTCCATCCAATAAATCAAAATTCTAAGTGGTGATATCCATTTGGAGTCATGTTGAATTGAAAAGAAAAAAAAAACTACAAGAGCCAAGTGGAATGTTTTTGCTATCTGGTTCTCAAGAGGTTGCACTAATCAGAGGATTTGAATAGTTTATCTTTCAATGAATCATAGAGCTTTTATTTTTAAATGGGGAAAGAACACACTACTAAATTTGCTCTTAAAGATGAATCAAGATGTGTTGGAAGTGAAGAATTGCTGGAAATCTAACTTGAAAATCATCTGGTAAACACAACATTATGTGTGACTATTTTTATCAAAATATGAAAGGTAAATAGGTCACAATGTTTGTAAAACCAATTTTAATTGTATAACATGTCAATATATAGCTTGGTTGTACTATGAAAATTTATAAAGAGGGTCAAATTTTCTTATCCTTCCAATATGATATTGAAAACATGTCCCTGAAAATTTCTTTCAAATCAGAAATAACACTTTTGGGCTCTCCTGAATAAATTGGATTGTCATATGGAGAAAAAGCTTTGTCTTTGAACCATCTTTCCATTGTCTCTTTTGCTTCAAGTGAAACAGCTTTGTTCTTTTTCAAAATGCTACTCAAAGCTACTGTGTCTATTTCTGCATCTCTTTCCTTGGAAACCTTCAGTTTACATCCAATTTTCCACATTAGATGTGGATCCATATGGAATTCTTGCCATTCAATTATGTCTGACAAGTTCCACCAAATTTCCAAAACTTCCTGTTTTTGATGTTTCCTGTCATTTGGATAAAGTTTATTCTTTAAATCTGGAAGGTGTTCCAAGATCTCTTCTGGTGTAAATTTCTGATACTTCCATATGTTTTTAAGATATTGATATCTATATTTGTAAATTTCTGATCTTTTGGGATCACTCAGAAGCCATTCCTTCTCGGCTGAAGAATTCCATGGAGGACACTCTTTTGAATCCCAAAAACTCCACAAAAGAATGAAGGCCTCTTTGTTTGAAGGAATTTCAGCTGATCTACCTCCCATTTTCCAATGCTTCCTGCCAAACTGTAAAATATCGCCAACAAAGATTATGAGGTTTGTATTGAGACCTTGTTTGTAAGCTTCTATCAAATCAGATGTGTGCAGCCAGTTGTAACAATTATTCCGCTTTGACATCAAAAATATGCACCTTGACCTGTATGCTAATTCTTCTGTGCCCATAGTCTTATCAAGTACTGTTTTAATCATGTGATCTTTTTGGATGCTCAAAAGCCATTCATAATCTTTCTGTTTAGAATCATAAAATGTTGGCCAAGATTGATTGATCTTTAGCACTCTTTCTAATCTTGGCACTTCAAATGATTTGAGCAGTTTTTTCTTTTTTTCTTCCCAGTTAGCCAGAATTATTGGCTGATTGATCTGCCTCAGGATTGATTTCCATCTTCTTTCACCTTCTGTTACACCTATTCTCTGAGCCAACCATTTCAATTGCTTCACCAATATTGGATCTTTATGTGTTTTGAGCACAAGCTGTACCATGGATTGGTTGTCGGAATATGAACCTTTGCAAAACAGCTCAATGGGAACATATCTTCCAGAAGATTCTGCATTAATTAAATTTCCAAGATTTTTAAGTGATTGAATTTCCCCGTGATTAGCTCCAGGATTCTTTCTGACATAATCTAGAACATAATCTGGATCCTCTTGGATAAAACCTTCCGGTAATGTAGGATTTGAATTCTCCATAGATTTTACGGAGGAAGGGTGTATAAAGGGATTCAAAGAGTCTCCTTCCTTGATTTGATTATTTTTTTCTGCCAAGACAGCTTGATCTGCATCTGGCTTAGTATGAAAATGTGATGGGGGAATGTTATATCTTACATGCCTTCCCATTGCAAACCATAAGATTGATATGTCTTTTAAAGAAAAAAAATTCAGGGGTAAGGAAGGTAAGTAGTTGAACAAGTTCTGTTTGCACTCTTTCAATTTTGAAAAATGGGGAAAAGTGGATGTTGGTTGAAATCCCAGAATTTGTCTCCATGAATTGTAGATAATTTTCTTTGTGGATTCAAGGTAAGGTCTTGTGGGATCTAAAACTATCTTGGGAGCTGAAAACAACCTTGAAGAAGCAGGAGTATCTTCTTTGATACTGTTCATTTGCTTATTTTTATTCTCCACACATAGATCAGCTTCTTCTGTGTTCTCATCCTGAGCAATACCAAAATCTGGCTCATTGAAACTGTACAATTTCATGCCAGATACAATTAGTTTCTATCCTATTATACACATGAGATAACTCTCAAACATAGCTGAGGTGTGTATATTGAGTTGCGACTCACACTGCAAACCTGTTATGTCTCAGAGGAGGGGGAACCTTCAAAGCCTCGCATAATTTCCGAGAACTTGTTTGAGAAGCTACACTATGATGTGTTCCATCACTTATCACACCTTGCCTCTGATATGAAGGAGCAGTGTTCTGTTTCCTCCTTTGAGAAAGGTTGAAGGAAGCATTTTCTTCATTTCTTAGCCCAAGATGGGGTTGTGAAACTTTGTTTCCTGGCCATTGTTGCACTTGTTTAGATGCCTCCAGAGGACCGTCCGCCCACAGACTGACATACTTCTTGCGTGGTCGCTTGGTGTGTAAGATCGATACCACTGACGCATCAGGGAGCTTTCTAGAGGTTGCTAAACTCTTATCTTTGGAAGTCTCATAGTTTGGAACTGAAAGTAGAGCCTCTTTGAATAATTTAGAATCTTCATATTTTTTTGAGTAGGTCAGATGCTGGATCGACTCAGGGTGAGTATTTGGCAAATCTTGGCTCGAGGTGTCCTTCTGGTTTGAAGGGTGGTCGCGGTCTCGATTTGGTGTTTTTGCAATAGAAATTTTTCCATGCAAACCACCGTTTTCACAAAGGAGCTCCTTTTGTTGCGAGACCCGTTGCGATTTTTGAAGTAAACCCTTCGGAAGATTACCAGACAGTGACTGCTCTAGGAAAGTACTTTCTGCCACATCCTTAGCTTTCGGTTCTGACACGGAAATTTCCTTCGCGTCCTTCAAGTTATCGTTTTTTTCTGACTGCTCGTGTGATTTGAGATGCGAGTTCTTGGAAAGATCGTCTGCTTCCTTTGCAAAGGTAGCTGCTTGGTCCACTTCATCGGTCAAGGAAGTGGAGGGGCCTTTAGCTAGAAGAGTTCTTGCTTTGAAGTTTCTTACTCTTTCATGCGCAAGAAATTTTCTGTCTAAGCCAAATTTATTTTTGGCTCTCCTTTTGATAGCTGCTTGGTTCGGCTGATTCATGCCTCTAACAAAAGGTATCATGTAGTCAGACCAATGAAACTGAAGAATTTTGTTACATAATTTTTTTTTTTTAAAAAAAAGGGGAAAAGAAGGCGAGCTCTACAAAATCCATAACTTACTCCTTTTGCTCGCCCATTCTGTCGAAGTTTGGCAATTTCTCCCGCGCTCCAGTCAAAGCTGGCAAAGTGTTACGAAAGTTCTGCCCCAAGTAGGTATGATGCGCATGCGATGATTTGGCATGAGTACACGATTCCTCGGGAATAGATGAAATTTTCGAGGGAGGCGTGCAATCTTTCAACACAGGAAAATAAGCGAAGATCCGCTGTTCTTGATAGGCTACTACAGGCTGCAAGACATCCATGTAATGTAATTGGTATTGGCAAGGAAATAGATCTGAAGTTGGTTGCTGGTAGTTCGGAGGACAATGATGATGATCGGGAACAGAATGATACAATCCTTGAGGACCTTTTCTCTGCTGATAGTATGGGCTTGGAGAGGGGTGTGCCACGTCGGGTGTGCCTGCATTGTTGGCGGCGACGTGAGCAGCAGAGTGCATGTCATGCTGTTCTTTGGTCGTAGGTTGATCACCAGGCTCTTTACCGAGGATAACATCTCGAATATTTTGGTTGCCATAACTGGTGCCAATAAGCTCTTCGTCTTCAGAACTAACAGCTCCGGGACCTGAAGCAGAAGACGCCGCGCTGGTGCCACTCGCGCTAGCTAAGGCCACTCCTCCAGTTGAGCCGGGCCCGTAGGCGATACCCTTCGGCCTAGATCAACAAAAACAAAAAGTTGAAGCAACACGTGAGCAATTTAATTTTATTAACCCAAATTTGAAGCTCACTCTGATTTATGATTGTTTATCTCAGCTGACTGGGATATGCCGGAAGTTTTCCTTGATTCAGCATCGTTTTGAATCTCAACGTGCCTAGTTGGATTGTGGTTTGATGCAACAAAGCAATCTTTATCCCTGATACAGATAAAGCAAAGCCCAGTCAGTGTGATATTTGACATTGTGGAAGTTGCAGTTTATATCGCGTAAAACATTCTATGAAATGCACCTGTGGTTCGGTGCTTCAATGTGTTCGTGTTTTTTCACATACAGGAGATTGTAATGCTGTGGGGTTTCTTCCATTGTAGTTTTGATCGCCTGGGATGTGTGCAAGCGATTGCAAGCATCGGATTCATAATCTTGAGCTATCGTTGGCATATCAGACTGAGTGCAAATCAAGTCGGGGATGATGCTTGGTCTGCCTGACAATGGGTGCTCAATATGATCTGGCGTAACTGTAACTACAGACAGAATAAAAATCCCGGGATTAAGCAACAAGAGAAAAAGGAAGAGAGTCTGGGAGAAATCGGACGTGAAGCCGGCCATAATTCTTGGATCAAGCGAATTGGGAATTCGACCTTGTAGGATCAGGTGGAAGAGATGTCTTGCTAATGCCAGGGGTTGATTTTACTGGCCACTGTGAGGATTGGCCCATTGATTTTGTTGTGCCATTCACCAGTATGCCTGAGCAGTGAGAGTGAGACAAAACGTGCAATAGCCGCAGTGCCGTCGCAGAGTGCCATCGAGTCAGCATATTGCCAAACTCAACAATCTCACAAGGTTTCATGATCCAGAGGCTCTCCAGACTGTTTCTTCACAATCCGTTAATGATGTTGGCGCGCATCAGGTCAGACAAAGCTGGCATGGTTGTTCGGGGGCAGACGTCAATGCTACACCTAATGTATGTACAGTGCCTAGACAGTGAAAAGTGGCTGCCTATTTTGGATTCCAGAGCTCCAGAGCACAATTTAGAAATCATGAGACTTGGTCAGGTGGTTATGGAGGTACTGAACAGCCACTTTGGCCAAAAAAAATGAAAAATGAAAAACCCAATTTTCAAACAAATATGAGTGATTCCAACCGCCAAGTTGGCCAAGTGGATCTGACATGTATGTCATACACCCTGACAATACATCTCAAACATTCCAATACATACAAACTATGTGATAAGCTCCCTGGAGCCAAAGTACCTACCATCCTCAACACATAACACATACACCACAGCTCTTTGACCGATGAATCAGCTGGCAACCGAGCTCAAGAAACACTCTTCTCACCAACTGCTGACCCTACCAGACCAACCACTTGAAACACACCAACCACTCGATCACACACCAACCACTCGACACACACCAACAACGCAAGACCACCCCACCAGATTACTACATACACCAACCATCCATCATGCGTGCCTCAATGCGATCTTTTGGTGACGATTTCGAGGCTGAGGTTTCTCTTCTAGTTGAATCTGGCCTGACAGACGCTGAAATCCGCAAACACATTCAAGACACGCACGGCATATCCGTCTCTAAACGAACACTCACACGAAGGAAGGAAGATTGGGGACTTATACTTCAAGCCACTGAACATTCCAATCAGCTTGAAGACCACATCCAAACCTACTTTGAACGAGGATTGTCATATTCACAAATCCACCATGCTCTAACAACAAGTCACAACTATACTCAATCTTTTCGAACGCTCGAAAGGAAGATCAAATCCATGAACCTGACACGGCGAACTGACGATTTGGACAACAACAAGGTTGACATTGATACGATCGTCTCTTGCATTCAGGAAATTCATCAAACCCCTGAAGGCCGGAACGTTGGTTACCGAAAGATGCGACAATTGTTACAGACGAAATATGGGTTCAACATTCATAAGTGTGTTATGTCTTCTCTGTTATTATAATCCCGTGGAATTATTTCTGATATTTCTTTGTTTGGAATGAAGTCTCACAGTTGCATTGATCAACCGTACCCTTGATCCTGAAGGTGTTGATAACCGATCAAAAAGGGTTTTGAAGCGTCGCGTGTTCAACACCCCCGGCCCGAACTTCATTTGGTCTGCCAATGGCCACGACAAACTCAAGAAGTTTGGGATCACTCTCTATGGTTTTATCGATGCTTGGAGCCGGAAAATTTTGGGAATCTTTGTTCATGTCACCAACAACAACCCCCGACACATTGGATACTACTATCTCGAGCTTGTCAAACGTGAAGGTGGCATACCTCGCCGAACATCTACTGACAGGGGAACCGAAACAATCCACATGGCTGGCCACCAGATCAACCTCACCGAATCGTTCAATGCAGACTGCCCAGATCCGATTCAGTCACACCTGTTCACCAAGAGCACCCACAATCAGAAGATTGAGTGTCTATGGTCGCAGTTAATGAAGCAATACAACAGCGAGCTAATAAACCAACTCTTTCGGGCGGAGGAGGAATCGTACTATGATCCACAAGATCCTGTTGAGCAGTAAGTTTATTTAGCCACAGCTTCTCTGGTTTGGTAATAAACTGACCAACATTGCATGCATCAAAAGTCTTTTATTTATTTACTTATGGGTTCCACTTCTGCAAGAAAGTCTCGATCAATGGACGAGTAACTATAACAATTACAAACGTCGATGGGACAAGAAGAGCATGCTCCCAACTCGATGTAGTGCAGAATGGTGCTATCAATATCCCTCGGAGGTCGGAGGCGAACAAGGATTGATTCCAGTGCCAATATCTGCTGCCGAGGCCTTACAGCAGGCATTCTATCCGGAGGGGACAGAATTAATGGAGACGTCTCCCAAATGGTTTGTCAAAGCAATCAAAGAGCTGGAAACCGGGATGCATCTCACAATACCTGTTGTTGACATTCACAACGTTTGGGAGGTGTTCTCTCTTGTTCTTGAAGCTATCCGTTCTTTTGACTTGTCTTGGCTTTCAGACCCTACCAATGACCCTTCTGAATCTTTCTCTCATTGTGCCGCATCCTTTGATGAATAACATGGTTTCTTTATTCATGCCTTTGAATGAGAATAACATAATTTCTGAATTTGTTACATAAGTTACTTGGATGCGTTGTCTTGAATGCGAGTATCTGATTGATTATTTTTATTCAATAATCAATTTCAATTTGGGATGGATGATCAAGCAGTGGTAATTTATGTTTAAAATTGAAAATATGGAATTCATATGAAACAGAAGACATCATGATAAGGGGGATGGTAAATAAAGAACACTTTAATTGAAAAAGGTAACTATCAGGGAATCAGGATGGATATTTTTGGGATTTACATAAAGTCTTCTTATGTATCTCTTCAGGAGTAGCATCTTTTAATTTTTTAGCAACATTGGCAAGTCTCCTGTTGATTTGAAAAGAACAACCTTGGTGAGTCCAGGGGCGTTCTGGATCATTTTGAGAAGAAAGGGAAGGAGGAGGAGGAGTTGTACAATGTTCAAACTTGGTAGTCTGCCAAACAAGTTCAACAATGCCATTAGATTTTACAAAGTCAATCAGATAAGCATGCCTTGGAAATAAAAATCCATGACCTAATTCGGAGGAAGGAGGGGGAATGGGCCTCCCAGTTGACTTATCAATATAAGCAAATATACCATAGGTCCATCCATTTAAGTCGTTCTTATCTTGATGGGCTTGGTTGTAGAAATCGTTATATGTGACGGAAACATTTGCAGCGAATTTGAGGTGTTCACGATCTTCATTCTTCATTTCAGTCCACTCCTCCTGAGTCCAATTAGGGATTCCGTATTCTTGCATCAGGGCTTGATTTTCCAGGAAGGCAGTTCGAGAGAGAGCTTCCATCCTGCCAGCAAGGAAGTCGTTGTGGGATTGAAGCTTGGCCCAGTTTGCATCGTCTTCGGCGGTTTGAGCAGGGGTGAGTGTGTTGCGTACATAAGTACCTAGGACAATAATTAATGAATAATCGTGAGTATAGCATATGGGATTACTTAGGGCATCATTGGGAAAAAAATGTAATTTGGACATACCTCCAGACTTGCCATTGTCATTTCCTGGGCGGAATCCTATCAGATGCATTTCACCATTGAGTCGTTTGGTATTTCGTTTGTTATGCGGACGATATCTGGCCATGGCATGGAGCGTTTGGATCACATCACAGAGTTTGTCGAATATTGGAGTAGATGGAGATGTTTGGAAGGAGTGATACTCTAGGATGAAGTGAGGTACAAGGCCTGAAGATAGTGCGATTTGACGGGAAGGTTTATCTGTTTTAGGCAAGTATTGAATTGGTTTGTGGGATACTTTTTCTTCAGAAGGGGAGCAGAGAAAGAAATATGTATGCTCCGTAGAGCCAAATTTTCTTTCGAGACTAGCAATCTTCTTTGCAGTACCAGTTGGATATTGAGGAGGAGGGTTGCGGGGCTTTGATGTTTGAATACCGTGATCCGGAAGTCTTTTCGGGACAGGCTTACAATTCCAAAGCGGCTCATCATCCTCACTTTCATCATCCTCTCTTGACGCACCAACCACACATGACCCACTTTCACCCTGATGGTTGCCGGCCTTGCGCCAAACAAGCGATTCAGGGCTTCCATGTGCCAAGGGGCCCTTGCTTTGAGTTGATGAGGCACTGACCACACATGACCCACTTTCACCCTGATGGTTGCCGGCCTTGCGCCGAACAAGCAAATCAGGGCTTCCATGTGCCAAGGGGCCCTTGCTTTGAGTGGATGAGGCACGGACCGCACATGGCCAACTTTCACCCTGATGGTTGCCGGCCTTGCGCCGAACAAGCTGATCAGGGCTTCCATCGGCCAAGGGGCCCTTTTTGAGGCTCGGGTTGGCTTTGAGGAGTCGCCTTCGGGCATTCCTGGTCATTTTTTGGGGCACGGGTTTCTGAAGATGGAGCAGGAAGTTTGATTCACTTGTGATCTACCGTACAACAACATTGAGGAGGGGGGGTGTCAGTTGGCTGGCACCTGATCCCCTGCAGCCACTACTATCTTTGATGGTAGTGGCTGCAAGGCTAGAACCCAAAAGAAAACGAGCGGCCGACTACATCGGCCGTTCTCTCACCTTCGTTTCGAGGCTCAGCTACCCTACAAAGACCAGAAAAAAGGGGGGGGGGGGTCAGCCTGGCCACCACCTCCTCTTCAGCCACTACCATTGTTGATGGTAGTGGCTGAAGAGGGCCAATGAAAAAAGG